TAGTTGTGTTAGTAGTTATAGTATATATATATATATATATATATATATATATATATATATATATATATATATATATATATATATATATATATATATATATCATTTACTTGCAAAAATACACATGTAGCATCGTCAGCTTACACCCCTGTATGAACACTCATTCAGTGGCTATTATGGGCAATCGCAACGCATAAACGTCTGACGAGATATCAGATTGCTCACTGTGGTTCATGGCGAATAATATTTCAAGCTACAGCGATGGGTAAAACGTATAGTGTACTTCCTCGTGACCAGGTTGCAACAGTATGCAAATGGGCTAGATATTCTAAAGTAGACCGGTTTTCCGGTATTGACTAAGCGGAAAACGAAAAGGACCCGCAAATCATCGAAATGTACATAGTTACAGAGCAGTACAGCTTTTTACACGTGCGCGTACAGCGTGGCAACCGAACCTTTATTGAAATATGTTAAGATGCAACACATGAGGTGATCTTAACATATGAGCCAATGAAATATATTCAGAACGGGTGTACATCTTTTGGCAGGATGTTCATATATAGACATATTAACCAGTAACAAATAAATTACCACAACGCCATGCCGCGAGAAAATTACCTGAATTCGTACTCAGTCTTGGCCAAATTGAATAGGGCCATTTGCAGCGATGACTTGTCGCCATGAGGAACAATGTGAAATAGCTGGTGCTGCTTCTCTGCTGCAACTGCAGGCTTCACGTTCGAATTGTTCACTAATGTGTATGTGAGGCTGTGCATGCCTGGAAACGGTGGAGAGTAGTTGTATTAGCACATATTAAACTTGTGAAGAAGCAACGTCCGTGTCGAAACGTATCTATTTCAAAGCCAACAACAGATTTCCCTGAATGATTTGTTTGTAAGATGTATGGTAAGATTTCCCGCTCGACTTAGAAATATATAAACTGGGAATCCGTGCGCTGCGTGTAGGAGAAAATCGGCCACAATAAGAACAGATACACACCAAAGTTTTGCGTAGCGGGTTCATGCAAAGGTCTCTCATCGTAAAGGTATTTATAGAATTGTATTCCTTCCTATGCTACAAATGGCCAAGTTTCTTCGCGCCATCCAGTTTTCTTAGCAACGGTCTACCACAACGACCACAAAGATTGTGACCATCTAAATTGTACGAGCGACACCGTACGTATGATGTATGTGGCACATTGCGACGCGTGCTCTTTCAAATTTAGAGATTGATATCTATAATCGTATCAATCAGTTAAAATAGAGGTATCCACTGTATGGGATGCCATTACTCTTGGACAAACAGGCAGAAACTGACATCAAACACAAATCACATACCCGCTAGCGCGCTCGTGTAGTCCTTGGCCCGGCAGAAGTTCATAAAAGATAATGTGGTTGCAGTCTGGTGGTCTGGATCGTCCCTGAGCACTGTCTGTAAACTGCTGTGAAGCTCAGCCGGCGACGCGTGAACCTGCAAAAGTGAGAGACAGTGACAAGCGCACACAGGTTGCAATTTAAATCAACAATTGGATCTTAAGGAATGACCACAAATGATACGATTTCGGTAGAATGAGTATAAGGGCATATTTGCTTCTGTGATAAACCAGAAAGTCTAAGGTAGATAATAATAAAGTAATGTAACACTGCTTTGTCTCAAGACGTCGAACGTGGTGTTGACACAGTGAGCAGCACCTGAGAAAGAAACAACGAGCGTCATGTACCTTGATTTCTACGAGACGACACCTAGCACAACGAAAGCCAAGTAGTTGATCAACCTAAGACACACAAATATGCATAGATATACATAATACATACATATACGACACTCACAAAGGAGATGTACAAGTTCCCGCCAACTCCGATCTGACCAATGCGCATCGCCATACCTCTCCACCACGCTGGAGGCACTCCGCCGCACGGCGTACCAGTCGCTCGGCATTTATGTTGGAATGCTCCTTTGCCTCTACCCCACCATTAGCACTGTCTCCCCCCAAACCCTGGTCTGTATTAGCACCCCCGGCAACACCCTTATCCCCAGTTTTCCGATTCCCATTCCCATTCCTGATTCCGTCACCTGCTGAGTCAGCGCCCAGATCAAAGCGCAGCTGTTGCGAATGCGTTATGGGCGAATGCGGGTGCGGCTGTGCACTGGTGTTATGCGTAATCGGCGTGTCCTTGACAGGTGTGCTGGCACGTGGGGGTGGCTCGTGACCCTGGTTCGAAGGTTGGCCGAAGCTGTCATCCAGATCCATGGCTACGAAATTACCTGTTCACCGACCAAGGTGTAATACAAAGAAGCAGGCGTATCAATCTATACTACATGCCCCATCACTACATACAACAAAAGCATCGCATGCACCAGTAATACTGTCAATACATCATATTACTACATGCACCATCAATCCTACATGCACCACACAGAATGTGTATATAAGTATAAAGCTGAGAGTAGCAAGCTACCCTACATGTGCAGCCATTACGCCTCAGCATCACATGAATCAATTTGAGAACCAACCTGGAGCGAATGATATTTGTGTTATCTTAATTGTATACCGGTATGGCGTAATAGGTAGGTAACTAGTGAGGCGTGATAAGCATACCACGTCAATTCACAGGCAATCAGCATACCATAGCATTTAATTAAAAGTAGAACGATGGAGGAAACAAAAAATGCAGGCAAATCAATGTATGGGGCAACGTTTAGCATCCGTTGTTTACAGCCACTAACGTATATTATGGCTACCTAAGCAGCCATATTGCGCGTCTGAGACATGTCCAGCGTTTATTGTTAGCAGGCTTGTCCGTCTAAGAGAGTAACTTCGTTGCAGGGTGATTATTGAATCACAATACTACATATTTAGATAAATAGCTACTTATGCACACCGTCGCATAAAGCAACCAGATTCACATAAAATGATGTATATACTTACGCATATGAGACCATGCGATAACACACACATACATATATATAGTAACAGGCTACGCATACCTTTTGCCGTGTGTGCGGGTCTGTGCTTGCGACCTATCTGGTCTTCGCTGGAAAACAATCCACTCACGGCGCTCGCTCCGACGATGCTGCTGGTGTGCAGCCAATCGAAGGTGCTGTTCGAACATCCTGAATCATGGTACAGGTTGTATCACTATTGAACACCGGCATACTACCTACACCCTGATGTGTGGGATGTTTGCGGTCCAATTTGTGATACGATTTACCGCTAGATACTTGAACAGGGCATGTGTGTGCAACGTGCAACAAACATGGCGTTCTTTTCATAGTGTACATCGAAATAATAGAGAGCGCGAATATGGGCGAAGAAGTACGATCTCAGTGTTACAACGTGTGTCACCAGTCTGCACGACTGCCCAAAACGTGTCCGATATGTGCTCATGATATTGGTAAAACTACTACAACGGTGCCTATATACAAGACTGTCGTGGCGTTGGTAGTCACGAAGAAGCTTCAGATGCGAATTGGGGGAGGTTGGGATTTTCCGTTGCAAGCGAGCGACGAGAAGGCAAACGATATTGACACAGACACATGCAACCACAAGCGAGAAGTCGTGAACTTTGAAGACATAGGAGGGGTAAGCGAGGGATATGACGGTTGATTATATCAGAGATACTACGTGTCGCTGCGCACGATTCGCCCATCAGTCTACATATACACAGGTATGTGTCAATGAACGGAATGCTATTTATGCCAACCAGCCATGAAATCAATTCGATCACAAATACCCTTCAGACGACAAGAGTATATACGTCTTATGATCGTCTACACGCTTAGCGATGAGTAAAGTCATGCGCGATGATGTACCTATTGTGAACTGCCTATCAAACTCTGATCCGTCCAGAAATAGGATGCCGTGTGATGCGTATTGACTTCCGTTCGAATAAAATAAAGCAGACTCTGGTATACATAATTATCAGTACTTGATCGCCGCTTAGATACCAGCCTGATTAGCCGAGGAACTGTCAATGATAGAAGGTCATCGCTGAGGAGTCGAATGCACGTCGACCTACAGTTACTACCATAGAGGTACCTATTCACACACACATGTTCTTGACGGGCTAAGCCGGTACGGGAGTTGTTGTACCTGCATCTGGCCGTTCCCTGTGCGCTTTCGTAACCTGTGAATTGTCCGCACAGTACTCAGACACATCGTCACACAGCCGCACCACCTGATCAAAGTCCGCAGATTCGAAAGATAGACAGATCTGCCTACAGAACAAGCCTATGATACTATGCCGTGTCACCAAATCCCCCGCTACCTGCAAGAAGGTTCGACAAGGACAGAGGTTCACAGTCGTGCCCGGCAAACACTGCATGGTTTCGCTCGCATGTGATAATTCGGCTGTTTGTGCACATTCAATTTGTATGAATTACCAAGTATGTAGGATGGGATGCATGCACGAAACCTGAAGATCTGAGCCTAAATATAACTATTGAGTGTAGCAACCACACTGTAGAAGTATACTTACAAAAACAGCAAAACCCGGCACTTAAGGCGTGGTAAACACCATGTCGTCTCCAGATTCCAAATTGACTGATTGACTGTATCACACACATCCAAAAGCCTTTGCGCCAGCTACTACTCGGCTATATATCACACGTTCAGGTCTGTATATATGTACGAATTGATGTATACGATTATCGATACAGTGTAACAAGTCAGACTACGCTGGTGCCGATATCTTACCTCTTCTGGCGGATGGTCAATGATATTCTTCGCGTAGTCAAACAGGTCATTCATTGCAAAAACATCGGTTACCGATAATAAGGTGGTGTGTAAAACTCTCAGTAGGTGATGGGACCGTTGGCTGATAGTGAGATGAACAAACAGTAAACGATAAGATACGGCTTAAGCCAAGTACGCACAGTTGACTAACAAAGCACCCTTAAACTTTTGGTAAAATAAGGCGAACCCGTAAGCTAATATACGTGATGCAGAAGAAGTTCTGACGTACCTCTTGTAGAATGCTATTTTGGACTTCAGTAGTTCGTAGTCGGACGACGATGATGCATGTGTATTATTCTTGATCGCGTCTACCAGCAGGATGGTGAATTCACCCTCGGTCAACTCACCACTACTCGCATCTGAAGATGATATGTACAAGCATATCGTACGATATAGACAATTGAGAAATGTACATGATCACGTACATACAACCAGGCCCGGCCTGGTATGTGATAGATGGTCCTTCAGTGCCGCTATGATAATTATGGGGGAACATCGTAGAAGTATAGATAATTGGTGGGCATCTACGCATATAGCGTATTACTGTGTTGAGTACTCACATTTACTTGTACACGCTTATACACTCGCATAAAACAAATCAATCTACGTATGAGTCATGTAAAGCTATACAAAATTGTTTTTGATATTGATACAACTTCATATTCGCCAGAAGGTGAATATTCTCCCCATTTGATATGTAACAAGCACATATTCGCCTCTACATGATTTGATTGTTGGTATCATATCAATTGATGAGGATGTATAATTTTATTGTAGAACTCTTTTAGTGATCATATTTTAATGTTTATTTATACATATGTACATATATATATATATATATATATATAGATATATTATATATATATATATATATATATATATATATATATATATATATATATATATGTATATATATATATATATATATATATATATATATATATATATATATAGTGACTCACCTCCAACCCTTGCCCTACGTTCGATGACTGTACGGTACATGCGTTTATTTATACAACAGTAGCAAAAAGAGATACATACAAAACGTGCATGTATTCTAATGCATTTGTATGCTGTTGCAAAGACATCAAAATATGCTAAGGCTAACGCAAAGATAGATGTAATACCTTTACTACAATATAACCATACAAAATGAATAGAATATACATACATGCGTTTTTATGCTTGAACATATCAAAGGAAGCACACGAAAGTATACGTACATGCTTGTATAATAATAAAGTCTATATCGAAATATATACAAATGCATACATGCACAGGTGTCGGACTATACACATCCCCATTTTTGTGCACATATAAATTTTTTATGTGGGTTAGGATGGTATTCGATATCTTAGGTCATAAATTGATGGAATTCGATTGTATGCAAGCGTATCTATTCTCGCAAACAAATCTAACCATATACTCTTACTATACAGCTATCAGGTGCATAGGGCAATCCACATGCACACTCCATGAACAAACATTCATAAGACTGCCGCCAATAGGACCCACTAGTGCTTTTATATGACCCACCATTCCAGTCATTGGCGGCGACATCGCTGAGAAACTCGCGTACCAGCACCAGCAGGGCTACTCTGTGCGGTGTTAGTTGTGCGTCAGGTACGGACATAGTGCCCACTGAATACTTTAATTTGATAGAGAAACATGCACCTCTATATACAGATATAGATAGACATATATGCAATGCATGTATACTGTAAACGAATGTACGATCTAACAAACTGGCTTATTCACTGAGATGTTGATCTATGCTACTCAGAGGAGCAGCCATACAACCATCGAGCAAGCAAGCAAACAACCAGCAAGCGAACGTAGTGACCTAGCTAAATAGCAGCTATAAAAGGTACTAATTCTCTGTATAGCCAGAGCTCAGATGCATTACTGTTTGAGTGCCTATACACTGCTTACATAGCCAGCGCCAAACAGTTAAGTTTGTTTCAGTGGCAAGTGCTATTCTAGTGTTGTGACGTGCCCGTTTACCATAGCCTTCTGAAAATTAAACACGTTTACGTGTATACAACTACTAGAGAGACCGTCTTAGGTCTCTTGAGAGTTGAGAGACACGATCGATTGTCATCAATTTCCCCCGCCAAAATATTATGGCCAAATATGGCAGTTTTATTTTAATACGTACACTTTTTACAATTGTTTTACATAAAACAAAAAGACAACAATATGTACAATCTGTGCAGAAAGTTGGCTGATAAGTACAGTCTTAAAGCCTTTATAAGTATGAACCATTTCTTGCAAGCCGCTTTTGCGGAGGCGCAGATAGGTCTCAAGGCAGAGGGAATACTCATCGGCTCTGTGCTGGTGATAGACGACAAAATAGTTGCCAGAGGTCATAATAAACGGTATCGTGGTCGGATGTGTGTGCATATATGTGGATTTATAGGCATACAATTATATACTTTCTTAAATAAATATACAGTACTATATATATATATATATATCGGATGTGTGTGTATATATGTGGATTTACAGGCATACAATCTTGTATATACATAAATAAATATACAGTAATATATATATATATATATATATATGTGTGTGTGTGTAGTAATATATATAG